TGTAGATGCCTGACAAACGTTGTTGTTGTTGTGATCATAAACTGTATGGATGTGATTACACGCAATACACGGAGCTTTTCCCTCAACACTGTAACGCGCTGCTTTTGCGAGCTTCCGTGAAAACGTTTCAGCTTTTATTTTCCTTTTTCTCCCTGAAGAAGATATCACAGGTTCATCAAGTTCGTCGAAATGATCCTCGATCACTTTTAGCCAGCTTTGACGAGACTCCTCTCAGCTAGCACGTCTTTTCAGAGTGAAAGTAGCCTTGTCACCTGACCTGAATACAGCGCGCTGATTCGCTGAAATGGATTTATCGGCTTCTGTTAAAAAACAGCAAGGCGCTTGTCGGCTTCTGCAGTAAAACGTGAACTCACGATGCCTTGAAAGTGGACAAAACCGGCTTTTTTGACAAAACGTGTTTAGGGTTCAGATCGCGCTATATGTGGAGAATAATGCACGGCATTTTTTTTTTAAAGTGGCGTTTATCGGTTTTTGCAAATGAACTCTTCAAATAAAGCTGATTTGACACCCTGAACGCGCCACACACCCATTGATGATCTCCTTGTTGTCTCCTCGTATGTAGTACTCCTGCTCTGGGGTGATGATGCACAGAGCGTTCTTCTGTCCGGTCCTGGCCTCAGCGTCGTTCACATCGGTGCACAGGTTCATGTTGACCGTCCCTTGCGGTAGCGTGCTTGGCTGTGTGCGACAACGGATGACAAGTTAACTTTGACAAAAGTCCAGATTCATTTTAGTCAGAAAGAGACAGACATGGCTCAGTTATTACACTAACACACAATAGCAAAAATTCAAGGACAAAGAAGGTCCATGGTCTATTATAAACCATAGAGATACACAAAGAACCGGTTACAAAGCTGAATCCGATGCTAAATCTGGTTGGTAAATTACATATCGCATGAATGATATCAATGATGTTGCTAAATTTTATACTGCCAGAAAAAAAAAAATCACAGATATATAACTGTGGCTTTTTCATACATCAAAGGATGAGTAAAAATATATGTGTGACCCTGGAGCACAAATCCAGTCATAAGGGTCAATTTTTCGAAATTGAGATTTATACAGCATCATCTAAATAATCTTTCCATTGATGTATGGTTTGTTAGGATAGGACAATATTTGCTCGAGATACAACTATTTGAAAATCTGGAATCTGAGGGTGCAAAAAAATCTAAATATTGAGAAAATCATCTTTAAAGTTGTTCAAATGAAGTTCTTAGCAATACATATTAATAATCAAAAATTAAGTTTTGATATATTTACGGTAGGAAATGTACTTACTTGATCTTTACTTAATATCCTAATGATTTTTGGCATAAAAGAAAAATCAATAATTTTGACCCATACAATGTATTGTTGGCTATTGCTACAAATATACCCCAGCGACTTAAGACTGCTTTTGTGCCCCAGGGTCACATATTGTGATCTATATTTGAATCATTGACCCAAACGACTTTGTTACTGAACCTCACTGTCTGCGTTTTCTGCTGAAGTAGCTTGTTATAGAGCAACAGTTTCTGAGTAAACACGTACGTCACCAATATATTCCTCATATCATTAAATCAGTGCTGCAGCAGCCGTGATCGTTACTGTAGTGCTGATGCCATTGTTCCCTGACGCTCCAGTCCTGCCAAACACGTCAAACATGCCTTTATTTACGCCTGTCACCCTGCTGTGCTTTGAGAGGCATTAAAGCTGTACTGGAGCCACACCGGACCCCCTGCAGCTGGTCTAATGACTGAGCAGATATATTACGGTCCCTTATCAACAAAAAGAACACTGTCAGAGAGCTCTTCAATGACCTCAACAGCTCAGGACTGTAACCTGTACGTTCCCTCATGCAACTGTGTGTTCTCATCCATGCACTGTACATGGGTGCTTTACACGGGTCAACATATATGCACAAAACCAGTCAAAGGTTTAGGGGTCAGTAAGGTTTTTTTGGAAAGATTAATACTTTTATTCAGCAAGGACGCATTAAATTAATTAAAAGTGACAAAAACATTTACAATGTTACAAAAGATTCTTCTGAACTTTCTGTTCATCTGTGAATCCTGAAAAATAAAATGCATCACAGTTTCCACAAAAATATTGTGCAGCATGACTGTTTTCAGCTTTGATAATAATCAGAAATGTTTCTAATAATCAGCATATTAGAATGATTTCTGAAGATCATGTGACACTGAAGACTGGAGTAATGATGCTGAAAATACAGCTGCGCATCACAGAAATAAATTACAGTTTAACAGATATTCACATAGAAAGCAGCTGTTTTACATTATAATAATATTTAGACATTTTTACTGTGTTTTTGATCAAATAAATACAGCCTTGATGAGCAGAAGAGACTACTTTCAAAAACATAAAAAATCGTTCTAATCTCAAACTTTTGACCGGTAGTGTATGTGTGTGTGTATTTATATATACATAATAAATATACACAGTACACACACATATAGTATGTAAACAT